TGTCCAAAACACATAGTAGATGCTCAATAAATACTTGCTGAAAAGATGAGTACTGGACAACTTGCCATTCCCGCAGTGTGTCCTGCTTATTCTGTCTGGAGGGCAGGCTTCAGCCAGGAATGTCCTTCTCTGCCAAGCTTGCTCATTTACTCACTCATACACTGATTCATTAATTCACCGAATCATTTATTCATTGACATATTTACAAAGTGCTTTCCATGGGTTTGACAAATGAATGAATGCTTGAATAAGCAAACATCAGGGGCTTCTCGGGGCATATTCAGAGGCCTGTACAATGATGAAGATGGGGAAGCAGGAAGGTCCTTGCTGCAGCCTCAGCTCCCTGAGTGGCAGGCCTTAGCTAGGTGCTCAACACACATCCTTGTCTCTAATTACAGATGAGGGGACTGAGGCTCAGGAAAGTCGCTGGGGTAGGAGGTGCTCACACCAGGCCTGCATGAGCCCTATACCAGTATTTTGCCCACTGTCCCGCCTCTCTTGGGCTATGCCAGGCTTCATAGCTGGCTTTGACCCCAATCCCACAATGGGCTCAGGATTTGTTTTGGCACCGGCAGGAATAAGGATGATGAGTCACCTGCTCTGATGTCACTCCTGAGCCAATTCTCAGGCCCCCAGGATGGGCTTGGCCTCTGAGAGCACATGGATCTCAGACAAGACTCCACCCCCACCCCTGCTCCAGGGCCATGATGATGGGGCTTCTAAGGTGCCCACAGCCCTGCAGTCTGGAAGGGCCAGTGGCCCGGGTGCTACAGAGATGAACATGTTGGGGCAGCACACTGATTTGGGAATTCAGCAATCTGGATTCTCCACCAGTTCTATTTCCTGGGGCAAGGGAAGCCAGGACAGAGAGCCTAAGCTTCATGGGGTTATGGGTGACCCTTCCTGCTAAGATTCCAACAAGGATATCTAACATGGAACCACAAGCACATCTGTTTTATGAAGTATATGCTCCAGTTTCTCCTTCTTTCTCTGCCATGGGAGGGATGGGAGTATGGGGAGCCAGCCAAGCTGTTAACTCCCACCAAGGCAGCACAAACAAATGGAAAAAGCACAGGCTCCAATGGCTGCTAAACCACTTTCTAGCTATGTGGCCCTGGACAAGTAACTTTGCTTCTCTGAGCCTTGGTTCCCTCATCTGTAAAATGGGCACAGCAGCTCTCTCATGGGGTTTATATAAAGATCAGATGCAATGGTGTTGTGTAAAGTGCCTGGTGATGTAAACTTAGGAGCTCAATCAATAGTGATTTCACAACAATAGCACCTACCTGCATGATCACTCTTATTGGGAAGCCCGTCAATTTTATCCTAAACATCTGTCTTCTACCCTTGACCCCCAGGAATCAGCTAAGCATGGCTGGGGAGGAAACCAATACCATTACCACCAGCCCCTACCCTGCCCTGGAAATGGGATTTACTTAAGCACCCACTATCCTTTCACTAGGAGCTCTGGTGGTGCAGTGCCTAAGACATTTGATTGCTAACCAGAAGGCTGGTGGTTCTAAACCCATCAATCGCTCTGCAGAAGGTGAAGCAATCTACTTCCATAAAGATTTACTGCCTCTGAAACCCAATGGGGGTTGCTATCAGTCAGAATTGACTCAATGGCAGTGAATTTGGTTTTTGGCATCCTTTCACTACTCTCTCTGCCAAGCCCTTGGAGCTCATCCTGTACAATCCCAGGTAACTAACAGTCACTGAATACTTGTTATTTGCCCAGCACATACCAGTTGATTCACACATGGGTGCTCACCAACTGAACCCAATAAACCTCTGGAGTAGGGAGTCCTATTAACAATTGCTATTTAGAGATGAGAAAATCAAGTCACAGAAAAGTCAAATAACTTGCTCAAGGTCATACAGAGCTGGATTTGGGCCCATACTCTGAACCATTACAGAAAAATTAGTCTGGGACCCTTGTTAAAGTAGCAAAGAGAAAACTATGCCAGAAGGTGAAATAGATACTCAAATGTGATTTCCCACCCACTTCTGTACTCAGGATGCCCGATTAAAACTGTGTCCTGCCACAGATATATTTTATCCCATATGAATTTATTGAGTACCACCTGTATGCCTGGATGAAACAAACAAATAAACCAAGCTGTCTTGGAGGCAAACACCAATATGGAACATTAACAGTCATTAATTCAGTCCCCTCTAAATCCAGAATTGATGATCATTTGCACACAAATTATATATTTGCTGGAATATACACCTCTGTGGCAAACTCTGAAGACACTGTCTGCTAGGAAAAGTAATAATATATTATGCATTTAGATGTTTATCGTCAGTGGAAATACAAAGAGCAAGAGCTGATTACTGAACATCTAGAATGTCCTGAGCTTTGCACTGGATGCATCACTTGTATTATTTTCAATTCTCCCATCATCCTATGATGTAAATATTATTCCCACCATTTACAGATGAGCAAAGTAAACCTCAGAGAGGTAACAAAACCGGCTCGTTTTCCCAACTGAAGAGTAGCTAAGGTATGATTCAAAACCAGGTATTTTTGATTCTCAACCACCAAAACCACACCAGTCCTCTTAATAAGAGTAAAGTATACTGTGTGGTTACCACGTGCCACCACTGCTAACAGCTTCCCACGAACTGTTTCACTGAACCTGGCCGATGACCCATTCTACTTATCCTCATTTTTCAAAGGAGAAATTGAATCATATACTTCAGAAAGCAAATTCATCACCTATTCATATGTTACCTTGCAAAAACCAAGGAAAAATAGTTATGGGTGATTCTCCATTTTCATTTATCTATATTACCTTCAGCCTCTTCATGAGGGATGCAATTGTAGCACCATTTATTGATGCAATTACTATGTATCAAATACTGTGCTAGGTATGCTATGTGATCTCATTTACTCTCCCCACCTGTGCTGTACACATTCTCATCATCCTGTTTTACAGACAAACAATAAAGGCCAGAGCAGTAATTGATCTGACTCAGGCCACAGAGTACATCACAGGTACAGTAGGGTAAGGCTTCACCGTGGGTGCCTGGCTCCAAAGCATGTGTTCTAAACCAGTGTCCTCATTCCTGGCTGCGTCTAAGAGAAGCTGATTAAATTGTTCTAGGGAAAAGGGTCGTTGGGTCTTGGTATTTCTTTAAATTAGGCTATAATTTATATACAGTAAAAGGCATAAATCTTAAATGTACTGCTGGATTAATTTTTACCTGTGTAACCATGACCCAGATCAAGAATAGAGAACATTTCTAAAAGCCTAGGAAGTTCCCCGGTATCCCACCCATCTAGGTGTAACCAACTTTCTGCTTATCGTCATAGCCTAGTTTTGCCTGTTCTAGACCTTCATATAAATGAATTCACACCAAATGTGTTTTTGTCTCTCATTTCTTTCACTCAACATAATCTTGTTGAGACTCATCCGTGTTGTTCATGTATCAATCATCTGTCCTCTTGTTATTATGTAGTACTCCACTGTATGCATATAGCATTGGTATTTTGTAAAAGTTGCCTGAAATGAGAAGTGGGACACTAAACGGGCTACAAACTCAAAGACAAAGGGCTTCTGGGTGATTTGTAGGTGGTACCAATAGTTAATGTACTCGGCTACTAACTGAAGGGTTGGTGGTTTGAATCTACCCAAAGGGTCCTTGCAAGAAAGGCCTCATGATCGAATTCCATTAAAAACCCCATGGAGTCCAGTTCTGCTCTGATATGCACAGGGTTGCCATGCATCAGAATTGACTCAACACCTGGCTTGGTTGTGGTTTGGGTCATTTTTATGCTTTAGCTATCTCTGTGCATAAGAAGCCTGTCCACTGGCTGGACTAGGCTCAGGGCAGGTGGGTGAGGGCACTTGTCCCTGAGGGTGGGGGAGGGCCACCTGATCACTGACCTGACCCTCATGCCCTGGAACATCTCGGTGCTGGTATGGAAGGGCAGCACGGTGGTGGCACTGACGCCCGGACAGTCCAGCAGCCCCAAGGTCAGGCTCTCCATGAAAGCGAAGGCCGAGGCTTTAGATGTACAGTAGTCGATGGCACCAGGGATGGCAGACAGCGCCAGCACGGAATTGAGGCACACGATGTGGCCATTCTGAAGCTCCAGCATGCGCGGCAAGAAGGCCTTGGTGGTCTGAGTGGGGAGGGAAAGGTCAGTGTGGAGCAGCCAGCTTCCAACAAGCCCTCTACCCCATCTTCAGGGAGACAGACCATCCTGGATACCACAGCTCCTCCAGAGACTGAGGCTTAATGGGAGAAAATGGGGCGGAGGTCTCTCTGGTGTGGGGCACTGAGCTCCATCCACATTTCAGAAGGTCATTCCACTTGTCTGGCCACTTTGTCCTTGGACATCCTTGCTTGCACGAACTCAGCCCTCCTGGTAAGCTCCCCCTCCTCCCCCTCACCCAGGCTTCCTGGAGGCATATGGGCTGTGGCAGGACTGTGTCGTTGTCACACCCAGGGTGGCTCTGACACAGAACAGCCCTTACCCAGAACTGGCCCAGGGTGTTGATGTGCTGGGACTTGAGGAGGGCGTCATCATCGCTGTCCATCAGGCTCTTCCCATGGACCACAGCAGCATTGTTCACCAAGATGGTGATGTCACCCACCTGCGGGTGAGATGGTGAGAGGGGCTGTTAGGGCCACCAGTCCCCACCACTCATGGGCTTTGTAGTCCTCAAAAACCACCTTGCTGCTCTGAGTATTAGTCCTGATTTATAAGATGGGCTAATAACCCTACCAGGGCTATAGAAATAGTTAGCATTTACCACATGTCAGATACTTTACAGTGTGGTTTGTGCTTCCTGGGAGCTCATTGACATATTCCATCAAGTAAGCGGCTAGGACAAGGTTTGTTCCAGAGGGCAACAGAACATATATCCTAGTGTCTAAGAAAGAAACTCATAAGGTCTATACTTCCAACATGAGAACAGGCAGCTACTTACATTAAGTAATCAGACTATATTGCCAAAACATATACACACAGCCAGGGCCAGCTTCATGGGAGACTCTGCAGACACCCTGGACAAAGCCATTCTGTCAGCTTTCTGCAAAGCCCTCTTCTAGCCATTCAAGACTGCTTTCTTTGCCTGGCAGTGCCCACGTCCAGCTAAGCTGATAACAAAATCTCTCAGGTTACCTACCTTCTCCCGGACAGCTTTGGCTGTCTGGTATACCTCCTCCCTGTTGCCCACATCACAGATGAAGTAATGGCACTCTGTGCCCATCTGCCGAATCTCCTCTGTCGTCTCCTTCAGGCATTTCTCAGTTCGGCCCCATAGGACAATCTGGGAGGAGATAATAAAAGCACCCAACAAGTGGTCATTAAGAAAGCCACAGTGATACAATCATCATCATCAGAATCAGTATCTAAAGTAATCTGCCCAAGGACTGGCCTCTTTGATTCCATTCAAAGATCGAGTATGCAAAGAAAATTAGCAATATGACTTTTTAGAGATTTATAGCCTACTGTTAAGTGAACCAGGAGCTCTGGTAGCATAGTGCCTAGGGCTCTTGACTGCTAACTGGAAGGCTGGAGGTTCAAACCCACCAGCCACTCTCGGAAGGAAGATGGGGCAATCTACTTCCGTAGTGATACTGCCTCAGAAACCCAAGGATGGGTCACTATGAGTCGGGTGTGACTCGACGGCACATAACAACAACTACTACTTAAGTGAACCAACAGTTCTAAGCTCATTCAACAACGTACTATTTACAAGTCTTGCTTATACACCCCTTCCAGTGGGATGCCTATAGCCTGCTCAATTCTAGTTATCCTACACGATTGGAAGCAATAGCAGAACTGTTTATGTATTCCAGAATCATCTCATTTACAAACCATCTGGCCTTTTCACCAATTACGTTCAGAGCCAGGTTCATTAACACTGGTCTGTTAGGATAGATTGGAAGGTTCTGGCCATGAGGGGCACAGATGCCCCATGGTGCCTTGGATCTTGCTGAGCTCACACTCCAAAAGAAGGCTGGAAGAGGGGTATGAAAGCTCCATGGAGAAGGTACCAATGTGCCACACAGCAGGTAATAAACATGGGGCTCATTATGTTAAGAAGGGATCTTTCTAGGACCAACAAATGGACTTTTTTAAAAAACATTTATTTATTTATTTTTTCTTGTGATTTGGGTGACAGTTTACAGAGCAAATTCACTTTCCATACAGCAGTTCACATACATATTGTCTCATGACACTGACTACAATTTACCCCAATGCAACAGATCCCCTCCCACTTCCTCCCCATAGTTACCTCTTTCCTGTGTCCATCCCTCCATGCACTCCTGCCCCCTGAGCTGTCTCCCTGTGCATAAACAGCCCTTCTTTGTCCCATGATTGTTCTCTCCAAGGAGTGTATTTACCTCAGGTAAATGTTCAACTCATATGCCTGTCTTTTGTTTGGCTGGAAGCCACAGGTGTGGGTTCAATTCCAGACCCGAAGGGCAGCTAGGGACCATAGTCTCAGTGGTTCCACCAGGCTCCATCAACAAATGGATTTTAAAGGGTTTGAGCAAATTTATGAATGGCCAACCCACGAAAGTCTCAGAAAAGAAGACCAGCTAATTCCCAACTTTCACTTAAAGAAAGACAACACATTTTTCCACGAGATGTAACTTGGTTTCAAAGAGGCGTCATTTGGTCATTTGGCAAAAGAACCCAGGGCTGGATGAGTAAGGGTCTAAGTAAGAATAGGGTCAGTCAGCAGAGAGTGGGGAAGGCTGGGCAGTGGACACCAACACAACAACACAACAAGATGGAATCAAAGAAAGAGCTAAGAGGCTCCTGAGGGATTAGTCTAATAGGCTTCTATTTGGGTTTCTTTTCTTTCTTTTTAAAAATAACCAATGAAATTTCTCCTTTTAAAAATAAAACCCAATATGGAAACCAGTAAAAGGAGTAAATATTTAGGTGCATATATCCAACACTGTAGTGTTTTGTTATTCGAAAAGCAAACAATGAGAACAAAAAGGCTATTTAGGGAAAGTGAATGCTTTAAATTGGGGATTAGAGATGGTAGCTCCAATCACATCAGCCAAAGAATCCAAATGATTTCTTTATTTTGCTTTGTGACACTGTATAGACGACATATAAGTAGTTGCTAATGGCAATAGTTTACCTACTGTTTATCTTGAAATCTCAGAACTTTCCTTTAAGCAGAAAGGGCACAAAACAATTTAGCTGGATGGACACATGACAGTGGTAGTGGTCTCCAATGAATTGAAAAAAAGAAAAAAAGTACAGCTTTTAAAATAGTTTTAAAATGTTTAAAAAACAAAATTAAAATATGAATGTTCTCTCAACCCCTAAAACGAATGTGTGAAAGCTTAGTTGAAAACCTCATCTAGCTCAACCACTTTACCTTATTTTAACTGAAGTCTTAAAATATGAGAAGGGCTTTATGAGGGAAGATTCCATCAGTTGCTTTCCATGACCACAGAAGTCCATCAAGCGCAAAAGGACTAAAATTAGACAGGCTCCAAGGGACACTTTCCTGTCTGTTGAACAGAAGCAGACTTAGAATGTTCTCCTCCAGGAGAGGCTGGGGAGACTCATTCAAGGGGAAGAAAAGAGATAAGCATTTGTCTAGCAAAGGCAATTTAGTGCAACTACCCTCCTCTCCCCACCACCATCTGTCAGTTTGTCGTACTGTGGTGACTTGCATGCTGCTGTAATGCTGGACGCTATGCCACAGATACATCAAATACGAGCATGGTGAATCATACGGGGCAGGATCGGTGGAGTTTTCCAGACTAGGACAGACTAGGAAGAGAGGCCTGGAGAACTAGTTCTGAAAAAACTGGCCTGCAAAAATCTTATGGATAGCAGCAGGACATAGTCTGAAACACTGCTGCAAGATGAGCCCCTCAGGTTGGAAGGCATTCAAAATATGACTGAGGAAGAGCTTTCTCTTCAAAGTAGAGTCAACCTTAATGATGTGGATGGAGTGACTCAAGATGAGAAGAAACAGCTGCAAATATCCATATTGGAATGTGGAGTGTATGTACTATGAATTAAGGAAAAGTGGAACATGTCAAAAATGAAATGGAACACACACAGATCAATATCCTAGGCATTAGTAACATGAAATGGGCTAGTATTGACCATTTGTGAATTGGCCAATCATATGGGTTACTAAGCTGGGAATGACAAATTGAAGAGAAATAGCATCACATTCATCATCAAAAAGAATGTTTCAAGATCCATCCTGAAAACCAGTGCTGTCAGGGATGGATAATATCAATGTGCCTGTAAGGAAGACCAGTTAATATGACTATTATTCAAATTTATGCACCAACCACTAATGCCAAAGATGAGGAATTTGAAGATTTCTACCAACTTCTGCAGCCTAAAGTTGATCAAACATGCAATCAAGATGCATTGATAATTACTGGTGACTGGAATGCAAAAGTTGGGGAAAAAAAGAAGGATCAGTAGTTGGAAAACATGTCCTTGATGATAGAAATGACCCCACATATGGTATTTTAGAATTTTGCAAGATCAATGACCTATTAATTGCAAATACCTTTTTTCAGCAACATAAACAGTGACTATATACACCTGGACCTTGCTGGATGGAATACACAGGAATCAAATCGACTACATCTGTGGAGAGAGACGATGGAGAAGCTCAATATCATCAGTCAGAACAAGGCCAGGGGCCAACTGCAGAACAGATAGAACAGACCATCTATTGCTCATATGCAAGTTCAAGCCAAAACTGAGGAAAATTATAACAAATCCACGAGAGCCAAAGAACAACCTTAAGTGTATCCCACCTGAATTTAAAGACCCTCTCAAGAACAGATTTAGCACACTGAACACTAATGATCAAAGACCAGATGAGTTGTAAGATGACATCAAGGACCTCATACATGAAGAAAGTAAAAGGTTATTAAGAAGACAGGAAAGAAATAAAAGACCAAAACAGATGTCAGAAGACATCCTCTAACTTGCTCTTGAATGGAAAGTAGCTAAAGTGAAGGAAAGAAATGAAATAAGAGAGCTGCACAGATTTCAAAGGATGGCTTGAGAAGACAAAGTAAAGTATTATAATGAAATGGGCAAAGGCCTAGAATAATAAAACCAAAAAGGATGAACATGTTCAGCATTTCTCAAGCTGAAAGAAGTGAAGAAAAACTCAAGCCTCAAGTTGTGAGACTGAATGATTCTATGGGCAAAATATTGAACAATACAGGAAATGTCAAGAGAAGATGGAAGTAATACAACATTTCAGGAGGTAGCATATGGTCAAGAACCAACTGCAGAAAGAAATTCAAGATGCAATGAAGGGACTGGTGAAAAACAAGGCTCCAGGAATTGATAGAATACCAACTGAGATGTTTCAACAAACATGCAACATTGGAAGCACTAACTCATCTATGCCGAGAAATGTGGATGACAGCTACCTGGCCAACTGACTGGAAGAGATCCATATCTGTGTCCATTCCAAAGAAAGATGTTACAGAGGAATGTGCACATTATCAAACAATATCATTAATATCGCATGCAAGTAAAATTTTGCTGACACTGATTCAGAAATGGTTGTAGCAGTATATTGACAAGGAAGTGCCAGAAATTCAAGCTGGATTCAGAAGAGGATGTGCAATAAGAGATATCATTGTTAATGTCAGATGGATCTTGGCTGAATGGAGAGAATATGAGAAAAATGTTTACCTGTGTTATACTGACTATGCAAATGCATCAGACTGTATGGATAACAGCAAATTATGGATAACATTGTGAAGAATGGGAATTCCAGAACACTTAATAGTGCTTATGCAGAATCTGTACATAGACCAAGAGGCAGTCATTCAAACACAACAAAAGAATAATGTGTGGTTTAAAATCAGGAAAGGTACATGCCAGGGTTGTATCCTTTCATCCTATTTATTTAATCTGTATGCTGAGCAAATAATCTGAGAAATTGGATTATATGGCATCAGGATTGGAGGAAGACACATTAACAATCTTTAATTTGCAGATGACGTAACCTTGCTTGCTAAAAGTGAAGAGGATTTGAGGCACTTACTGATGAAGTGCTGAGGAGCAAGGATATCTCATTGAGGACTAAGGTGCGCCTGACACAAGCCATGATATTTCCAATCGCCTGGTATGCATGTGAGAGCTGGACAATGAATAAGGAAGACCGAAGGAGAGTTGATGCTTTTGAGTTGTGGTGCTGGCGGAGAATGCTGAAAGTACCATGGACTGCTAAAAGAACTAACAGATCTGTCCTGGAGGAAGTGCAGCCAGAATGCTCCTTGGAAGCAAGAATGGCCA